GCATGAAGTGCCTGGGTAAGAAAGTAGTTGACAGATCCCATATACCATCCAGACTTTTAAGCTGTTAACTGACAGCCGATGATTGATATCAAACTACCAAAGCTGTATACTTTCCATATAAGGAAAGTCAAATAATCCTCTACACGACGAATAACATACCGTTGAGGGCTCAGAACAACTTTAGTGCGTGCAGTCTATATTTTAAACCACATAATGAGCTCAATTAACGGGCAGGTAGGATGCTATGAATGCCATGGATACTCTAGATGGTTTTGACAGTCAATATCTCTTGAACGGGGGAGGCGTACTATTGCTTTCCGATTAATCAAAGTTCGCAAGAAGTAAAGCTCACATAGGTTATCCGAATAAAGCGATCACCCTGTATAATTGACTGAATAGCAACGGCAAGACTTTTATCGTCCTTCTCGTAACCATAACTAAAACCACCGAATGCATAGTGCTTACAAACACAGGACGCTGTCCCCAATAAAACGCCGGGCAAATGAGCGGGTAGGAATATATTTACAGGCCCAGAGCAATGGTACATAAAGTGGAGCTCGCGGTCGAGTTTATCGAGATGCCTTCCGTTTTCTAGACACGCGGGGCGGTTTGCTGTGGTGCTGGTGATTGTGCTCTTCGGAATTCTGAACACAGCAACCACACGTGTTGCAGTGAACGCGGCTGGGTGGTCGGCACCTCGAACAGGCGTTGCAATGCACGTACGGACGGCCGTGCTGAAATGAAAAAGTATGTAGTTATTCTTCGTGCTCAGAGTCAAAAAGAGTTAGCACAAATAAAATTAGTAATGCGACGCGCTGATTATTAGAAGAGGAAATAACTACCAGAGTTGTGCAAGCCTTGCAAAGGTCGCAGTGGGGATTGTCAATGCTGGAATATCGTTGGCAGTTCTCGCAGAATCTACAAGTTATAGATATGTAAAAAAGGAATCGGATGTTAGGTCCCTACAGTGAGTTTGTCTTCAAAAAACTGAATGAGAAAATTAATGGCAAATTAAAGGGAAAGGAATAACAATATCGAGTGTGCCTACTGACAAATGTTAAGTAACAAAGCAAATTCGATCAATTATCCCAACTGCTCACGTACATGGCCGCAAGAAGAACCGTTCATGAAAGCACTTAGATTTATCCACTAAAGATTTTTCTTGAATGGCGACTGTCAACGTGTTAGCCAATCTACGACTGATGATTTGAATGAGTCCCAAAGACCTGGATCCCGCCAAAATCTGTTTTTGCCTCCCTCCTGGCTACTGTTGGCTTTCTCACATAAAAATAAGGTCTGACCAGTTACTCCAGTTAGAGCTTCCTAAAGTCTACTCCAAATCTGAAAAGAAATTTAAATGAGCAGCAAGTTATGTCCTGTTCCTTGAAATGTCCCTTATAAGTGTACATCTTGTGAAGAAGAAGCACATTCGATCATTGGTACAAGACCCGTTTCTGCATATTGCGTCGGTACCGGTATTAAGCTTGCTGAAATTCACTCATAC